GATAGTGAGGGGGGCAGATAGTGAGGGGGAAGATAGTGAGGGGGGGGAGATAGTGAGAGGGGGCCGATAGTGAGGGTTGGGAGATATGACACAAGACATGTTTGTTTGAACTGAGCAATGGCAGTCAGTGCAGTGTGAATGTTGTTACTTTCACCTTCTCCACAGCTCGTGGAACAGGGCCCCAGTATCGGAACCCAAAGGTACATGCGCCTCTCACTTGGAGAGTCCGGAATGGCTGTGGCATTTGTGACGTTTCCAGTCTCTTTCCCCAATTGTTTGGATACCTGGAACAACAGATTGAAAACTCTTTCACATACGTACTTTACATCTAGCAGCTCCTTATGACACAAAAGAAAGCAAAAAACGGCCATTCGGCCCACTGTGCCTAGCCTTGCTCTTTAGAAATCCCTGCTGTTTTCCCATGGCTCTGTGTGTTCTGTCACTTCAAATATTTAATTAAGTTGAATGTGCTCCCACTGCCCTCTCTGGCAGCATGTCCCAGCTCACAACAACTCACTGATCGAAAATACTCTCAGCATCTCACCTATTTCCAAAAAGCATGATTTTGTTTTCCTGCCATTGTAAACAGTTTCTCCTTATGTACTCTATCAAATCCTTCACGGTTCTGAATGCCTTGATTAAAATCTCCCCTTAACATTCTCCACTCGAAGGTCAACAATTCCAGCTTATCCACCTTTCTGTGTCTTTGTTACGGTTATGTACTTTCGTGTAAACATAATTTCAGGTGGATGGTATAACTGAAGAAAGGACTGTCTTCAATTGTCCTTCATTTCCCTGGACAGCTGTAAAATAATCATTCTTCACAAAAGGTGGGAGGTGAAAAGTTTAAACTGAAAGCGATACAACAGATAATTTCTGACACACACACACACACACACACACACGTACACATATTCACACACATACACACACACATACAAAAACTCATACATTCACACATACACACATACACACATACATTTACACACACACAGACACACAGATTCACACACACACGTTCACACAAACACACACACTCATGCACACTTGTACATTCAAATAGTGTGTGCACACATAGTCTTGTACATACACACAAACACTTGTACACACACACACATATTCACACACACATGGTCTGACACAAACAGTAAGTGTTGTCGGGCATTAATAACATCTGTTACCTCCGACCAGGGCATCTGCTCCAGTTCAAAGGGACAGATGCTCACAATACAAGGTGTAACCCCAGGAGGCTGTGCTTTTGCTGGACACAGTGTCACGTTCACTTCCATATCTGTCCCATTAACAGACTGGACACAGGTCACTGACCTCTCAGCAACTCCAACTCCACAGGATGTAGAACAGATACTCCAATTCGAAACTGTCCACCTGAAATAAACAGAAATAGGGGCTTAGTAGCTGCACTAAACTGTCTCCTCCAGCAAACAGTGCACCTCAGCATTCTGGAGCTTCAGGATCATTCTGAACCTGACTGAGAGGAAAGGAGTGGTTCCACAAAAGGGCTTCAGCAGCTTAGGATAAGGACAGGAAATCCAGTCAGAAATCCCACTTTGGATCTAAGCCCCCAGTAGCCCATCAAACACCCCCAGGGCAGGGACAGCACAGGGTTAGATACAGAGTAAAGCTCCTTCTATACTATCCCCCATCAAACACCCCCAGGGCAGGGACAGCATGGGGTTAGATACAGAGTAAAGCTCCCTCTATATTATCCACCATCAAGCACCCCCAGGACACGGACAGCATGGGGTTAGATACAGAGTAAAGCTCCCTCTATACTATTCCCCATCAAACACTCCCAGGGCAGGGACAACACGGGGTTAGGTTCCCTTCCCTGGTTCACTTCCCAATGGGAATTCAAATAAATGAGAACCTGTGAGAATCCTGGGGAAAGGGATAAGGACCAAAGTAGCAAGGCTCTGCCACATCCAGCTGCTTCCTGAACCAACACCATGTCCTCAGATCTACCAATGTCCCACATGCATGGAACAGCCATCACTTCACTCCTGACCAGCAGGTGATGCTGTCTAGCTTGGTTCTAACCCTCCAACCATGAGCAGGTGCCTGTGACAGTGATACATTGCCACAGTTTTCCCTGCTCCTGCTCCTTCTCCATCTAATACTAAGCCTAGCAGGTCAAAATTATACCTGGACAAGGCTCAGAGCAGGATGAAGGAATGATACATTCTTCTTCATGAAAAAACCTATGAATCATTGGAAAAATCACACCGAAGCACCCTAAAGCTCCCAATCTGTGGCACCAGTGAGGCATCGGGGGAAAACTCTCTGCTGGTTGGAGTCATAGCTGAGGATAATGGTTGTGGCTGTTGGAGATCAGTCATCTCAGCTCCTGGGTGTCTCTACAGAAGTTCCTCAGGGTAGTGTCCTAGGCATAACCATCTTCAGCTGCTTCATTACTGACCTTCCCTCTATCAGAAGGTCACAAGTGGGGACATTGATTGATGAATGCACAATGGTTAGCACCATTCGCAACTCTTCAGATACTCACATGCAGCACGACCTGGACAATATCCAGGCTTGGGCTGAAAAGTGGCAAGTGACAACTAGATCATAGAATTCCTACAGTGTGGAAACAGGCCCTTTGGCCCTTGTGCCACACAAATGTCAGGCAATGACCATGTCCAACAAGAAAGAGCATAACTATCACCCTTTAATATTCAATGGCCATATCTTTGCTGAATTCCCCACTATCAAGATCCTGGGGGACACCATTGACCAGAAACTGAATTGGACCAGTCAGATATACACAATGGCTATAATAGGTCAGAGGTGGGACTGGCATCACATCCACAAACATCCACTCCCCCCACCACCGACGCTCAGTAGCAACAGGGCGTACAATGTGCAAGATGCACTGCCGGAATTCACCAAAGATCTCAGACAGCACCTTCCAAACAAACAATCACTTCCATCTAGAAGGACAAGGGCAGCAGATACATGGGAACACCACCCTCTGCAAGTTCCCCTCCAAGTCACTCACCATCATGACTTGGAGATATATCGCTGTTCCTTCACTGTTGCTGGTTCAAACTGCTGGAATTCCCTCCCTAATGGCATTGTGGGTCAACCTACAGCACATGTACTGAACGGTTCAATAAGGCAGCTCAATACCACCTTCTCAAGGAGGCAATGAGGGATGGGCAATAAATGCTGGCCCAGTCATCGATGCTTACACACCCTGAATGAAAAAATATCCTCACTTCTGACACCCCTTACACTGAGTGTAGTACATACCTGACAGGGCAGGGCTGGCTATTACACATTTCCACTGATCGGGGTCTGGCAGTAACTGCACACTCTGTATCAGATGTCTGTTGTCTCTCAAGTGCCTCTTGCTTCACACAGTGAACAGCCCTTTCTCGCAGACCTCCACCACAGGTAACACTGCACTCACCGAACTCCCCTACTTCCCACCTACACAGCACAGGAGGAGAAAAAATGGGCGGTCACAGGCTATCGGCTGGGTTTATCTCTAGAAGGGATTCCCTTCAATTTCAAAAGCTCAGGTACCACACAGGACACCTGAGTCAACAGAAACAGAAATAAAACCAGACAATACTGGAACAGTGAGTGTGAAGAGAAAATCAGTGGTGAATATTTCAGGCTTGTGAATGTGTGTTAAGTGTTGCAAAGTTGAGTAGAGTACTTGTGAATTAGAAGGCAGGATGTTAGAATCTGTTTGTAAAAATGATGGGGGGAGCAGTGTGTGGTCCCTTTAAGAGGTGATGTGCTTTTCTAAGCTTGGAGATTAAAAAGAATCTGCAAGCAGCTGCAGATGCATAGACAGTTCTGAAACTGAAACCTATGTAGCAATAGGCAGTGTGGTTGGCCACTTGGGCTTGTTTTGATGTTAAGGCAACCAGCTTGGATATCAGCCAATTAATTTAAACCAGGCACTTAGAGACTGAAAACCGATTTAATTTAAATCTGATGGTGTTGACAACCAAGGACCAATCCTACTATAACAAAAACTGACAGGTCATCAAGGGTATATAAGAAGAGGATTTTTGGAAATCAGCATGAGAGCAAACTGCCTTTGGAAGTGTAAAGCTCTGGCTATCATAGAAATCTTTAAGCTCTCTGATTAAACACCATCTAGAAGGTACCATGGCAGTCTTAATATTCCTGACACAAGGACTCAACAAAGAAAGAATTCCTGACTGAAGAATAGCGGAAAAAGCACAGAACATACCGGAAGATGCATCCTGACTGTAGTTTTGAGAGTCTAAGTCTTAATTTATTTTTCTTATTATTTTGGTTTATATAAGTGGTACTTGTATTTATTGGAACAGCATGACGTTAGAATTTTGTACTGTTCGGGAATAGTTAGTAGTTAAGGGGGAATTGTTCAGTTTGTTAATAGGTCTGTTAATTTGTTCACTGTTACAGTTAGGTAAATAAATTTTTAAATGTTGCTGATAAAGTGAGTATCAGAGATTTATTTCATTTCGCCATCCCCTCCATAACATACAACAGATTGCGAGGTGAAAGGCAGGTTATACCATTTTTCCTATTTCCTTTAGAGGATTATGAGGTGAGGCAAACTTCTTCGGGTGTTTTGGTTTTAATTATCAGTGGGGTTGGACATCCATCCGTAACACAAGTCTCAAGGAGATGTTGAAGAGAGTGGTTTTGACAGAGTAAATAAGGAAAAAGTGTTGGAGACATACCCCAGTGAGAGTCGGTGTGTTGGAGACATACCCTAGTGAGGGTTGGAGTGTGGGAGCTGTGTCCCAGTAAGAGTCAGTGTGTGGGAGCTGTGTCCCAGTGAGAGTCAGTGTGTGTG